TTTACCTACAAAGATGCAAACCATATGGAGGCTGCTGTAAATGTTTCTAAATGTTCATTACATGGTCTTCAGAACTGTCCTAATAATGCTGATCTGATAAATAAAAAAAACTCGAAAAAAGTTTCTATTAATGTGCATGTATTGTACATACATTACATGTGCCTGTTTGTTTCTTGAACTGTACTTGTTTTATTACATATAATGTATATCCATACCTATGAACCAACGCAAAAAAAAAAAAAAAAAAAAAAAAAAGGAAGGAACTATAGGAACAAAGAGACACAGAAAACGCCTCCTCGCCTCGTTCACACGGACGCCAGAGTCCTGGGAGGCCTCCTTGACCCAAAACGTCGCGAATGCTCTCTTGCAGATCTGGCCAAGGCCTTGAAGACAGGCTGTTTAGCACTATCAGCAGTTCTGTCAGCAGCTGGAGTGTTTGGTTCAATTGTTCTTGGCTCTGCAAAACAACGAAGGTAGATTTAGTGATAAGAGAATGCATTCGCAGCTATTTCTTAAGGTGAAGTTTAAAGGAGAACTGTCTGCAGCTCATGCTAGTGAAGGAGGAACTGAAAGTAGAGGAACGAAGGCCGAGGAGGAGGAGGAGGCAGAGGGAGGACGACGAAGACGAAGACGAGGATGATAAGGAAAAGGAAGAATAAGAAGAGGGAGAGGTAGAAGAGAAGGCGGAGAAAAAGGACAAGAAATGAAGACGAAGAAGAAAATATAAAGGAGGAGAAGGAGGAGGCGATACAGAACAAAATATAAATATACGCAAAAAGAAAATGGGGAAAGGTGTGTTCCTTTTACATATGTCCTTAAGAACAACAGATTCATCATGCAAGTACATGAACTCTCTGTGAATATAACCTTTGACCATCATTGATAGGAATATTATTGTCTCACCTCAACTAGGGCGTCAATGGTCTTTGACGCCCTCTCATGTTCCTTGCGAAGGGCACAGAGTTCCTGTTAAGTGAAGCACACTCTGTTAGATGTATAATTACATTTACACAATTATAGATATGTATATTCGTGTGTATTCATATGTGCGTATATACGTATGTGTATATATACATACACAACACACATACATATCCCCTCCCCTCTATATTCCCTTTTTCTTGCCGTCTTTTCTCTCTCTTCCCCTCCCTTTTCTCTTTCACCCCCTTTCTCTCTTGCACCCCCCTCTCTCTCTATCTATCTTTTCTTCCCCTCCTCCTCTCCCCTCCTCTCTCTTCATATTCCTCTCTCTGTTCCGCTCCCTTAATCTTTCTTCCCCTCCTCTAATTTTACTTCCCCCTCTCTCTCTTTCTTCTCCTCTCATTCTCTCACCCCCCCCCCTCTCTCTCTCTCTCTCTTCCCCCTCTCTCTTTCTTTCTCTCTCTTCCCCCCTCTCTCTTTCTCCACCCCCTCTATATCTCTCTTCCCTCCCTTCTCTTGTTCTCTTCCCCTTATCTCGCTCTCTTACCCCTTTCCCTCCCCCCCCCTACTCTCTCTTACCCTCTTTCCCTCAATCCCTCTCTTTCCCTTCCCTTCTCCCTCCCTTGCATCTTCCTTTCCTTTTATTCCACTGACCTGTGCAAGATTCTCGTGTTCCTGTTTCACCTTCCCGTTGCCAAGCTCCTTGAAGACTCTGATAATGTCGGGCACTTTCATTATCACAGTCAAGACAACTTCAGCGATTTGTAAGGCCACTGACATCTATAATAAAAATAATAAGGTAAATAAGTCAATGAATGTAAATAATATATATGACGTATTATGCCTTTTTTACCTCTTCTTTTTTTCGATGTCGACAATGTAGAGCGAAAGAAGCAAGGCAAAATTAGAGACAAGGAGGAAGAGAGGAAGGTAGATAATGATATACAGAGAGAAAGAGAAAAGGAGAGAGGGAGTCCCTGTACGATGTCTAATTTGCCTTCGAATCCTTTTCTCCAACACGTTTGACAAGATGTTTCGACGGCTCGGGAACCCCTGCTTTGGCGTCCGGTACAAGTTGTTCCTCATGTCCTCCTCGCCCTCTTTGCGGCCAGGCGAACAAGACGAGATGACGTCACTCGCATTTGTGCATATAAACACTGACAGTTGTGGGCAATCAGAAGATTATGGTAATTGAAGTTATCAAGGGTTATTTCAGTTCTTGTCTTCCGAAAATTAGTTGCCTGTGCATCAGAGTAATTATAAGCCTATATACTCTAAAATAAACACGCATAAAAAACAGCGAATGTTAACTTCACAGCTGGATGCATTGTGGGTAATGAAGGCCTCAGAGGCTTCCGACCGCGACCTCGTTGTCTTGCTCGTCCTGACAGCTTACCCGGACGAGCAAGATAAGGGATTCCGAACGCAGCAATGCAGGAGGGGAGTAACCACAGCATTCGAGAATCCCTCGGCGCTAAAAACACATCACAGCAAATATAGATCGAGAAGCGCCGTCATTCCTGTGCTGGTGATCATGATGAATTAGCAATAATCGACATTTTGGGTAATGTTAACACTTCCTCGGCAAACCATGACATAGGAGATGGAAACGGAATATGTGAGAGAAATGTAAAATATATCTAAAGGAGGGAGGGGGAGGGAAGGAGAGTGTGAGAGAGAAGAGGGGAGGACAGAGTGGTGATGGCGATGGTGTTCCTGCTGCTGATGATGATGGTGCTGATGATGGTACTAGTAGTGGTAATAATGATGATGACGGCAATTTTAATGATAATGGTAATAATAACGACAATAACTGGGGAGGAGGAGGATAATGGCCATAGGGGTAATGGTAATAATGATGACATAATAATCATGATAACGATGACGAGGGCAATGAAGAGGAAGTGTAACCAGGAGAATGCCGATCAAGACAAAGGAAAACAACAGTACGAACACTATGGGCCGTACTTTAAAAACGTTCGAACGGAGGCGCCCGCGGTTTGGCGCTCACGAGGGGCTCGAATCCTCACCCAAAAGACAAGCAAGCGCAATGGACAGCCAGCGTCTCTGCTGCCGCTCGGCCGCCACGGAAGGTGCTATCTTCGACAATGACCGCTACTATCAAGCGAATCAAAACATAATATTAGCTCGAAATTTGATTGTGTTGACATTTTCAGATTGGCTGTCACTTTAAATACCAATTAATCATTTCTTAATGTACAACTAAACTTATAAAAAGCTAAAAAAGTTTGTTGACTAACCAAAATAATGAGTCACGCACATACACATTGATACTGTCACACATGCACACAATCTCTCTAACATATGTAAGCGTGCATATACGCATACACAATATTTATGAGCATAGTATTTATGTGTGTTTTTTCCCCTTAACCCTTCTCACCTGCTAATTTTTCCATGTATTTCATTCCCATTGTAATTTTGATTATTAATAGCATTACTGTTTACTTGTTCCTTTGTAAGAATAATATCCCTTTCTATGTGAAAATATCCGCAAATCAATCTTCCCTGGCACATATCAAATGACATATTTATCAAATTCATGTTTCCTAAATGAAATGCGTCATGTCTTAGTTGCTTAATGGGTTGCTTACAGTAGTAATGGGATATGAGGGCGTAATGTATATACATTTTCAAGTTTTCTAAATTTTCAAGCAAATATTCCATGAACTGAGTTTGCTCTAATTGTGTATAGCAATCAATGTTTGCCAAAAATCTGCTGTTTTACAGAGGTCGTGGACAAGCACCATATATCATAGTTCTAGAAAAGGAACACATGCACATCGTATTATAATACCAAATTACACCAGGAAAATTAGAAATACCCTGACATTTTTGACATTGTTTGCAGGGTTCAGCTTTCAGGGGCCAGACCTATCGTTGGAAATGCTTACATCTTACAGCAATGTTACTTTGATACATTCATTGACAAACTCCTGAGATAATTCAAGACTATCTACTAATTTTAATTACAGTCCAGCTACAGCCAACACCTATAAGTATTGAAAGTAATATCAAAGCTGTGTGTATGCACATACGCACATATATATATATATATATATATATATATATATATATATATATATATATATATATATATATATATATATGTATGTATGTATATATAAGAGTGTGTGTGTGTGTGTGTGTGTGTGCATACACAAACACACACACATATCTATATGTACATTATATATATGTATATGCATATATATATATATATATATATATATATATATATATATATATGTGTGTGTTTGTGTATGTGTGTGTGTGCACACACATATATATACGCATACAAACACACACACGCACGCACACAAACACACACACACACACATATATACTCATACAAACACACACACGCGCGCGCACACACACACATACACATACACACAAACAAACAAACACAGACACACATGCCATAAGCTAAGCAATATTTCGGCTGCGCCCAGACTAGCAAAATGCGAAATATTCGTTATTTGTGCATGTTACCATCTTGTTCAAGTCATGGAATGCGTGTTAATGGATGTGCTAAATACGGTGCTTTCATATTCATTAATTTTTTTAAGAAATAACGGCGAATAAGGGGACCTACGTGAGGTGAGGAATCTTGGACAGATATATACATACAGTAAAGTCTTCTCAAAATATTTCGATTTTAAAATAGTTGCTAAATGATCATACAATACTATCCAAATTTCTGTGTCGTTGTACCTATCATGAAATAGATAACCTCTGAGTGTAGGCTGAACAGTAAAGAAGAAAACTGTCGAATACCTTCGTAAAAGACACATTAGTGCTGGCGCTCCACCGCCACTCAAGTTCCAATAATATAACGCCGGTTCGGGATGTCGGAACGACAGGCGTTCGAATCTAGGGTGGTTAAATTACGAAACTGGTCCACCGCTTCAAAGTATGGCCCTATTTGTGTCCTATAAGCCATTAGTCGATTGATTTCCTTGCCAGAATGTGTTATGGCGGGCAGCAAAAGTCTTCTCTTCTCTAAAACAAGCACTGTTATTGCACGCTACGAAACAGCCGACTCCAGTACTCACTGTGAAGCGATATCGAATGCCCCCGAATACTGGGTACCACAGGCAAGCGATCTGGTTTGCGGGGTTCACTCATACCAGAATGACAGCTGACGTGGTATGCAGTAAGAGAGCGCCAAATAGATCGAGGTGTCGAGGAAACCGACTCGTGATAAGCTGGTGCGCTGTGATTGGGTGAGATTGGTCGATCGTGATTCGCTCAAAAATTATATCACGACTTATTTTATGTGGAAGTTTGTTTTCGTGAGTATAGAATCCCATAGTAATCTCGTTTTTGACCACAGACTTCTTAAAATTCATTTGCATAGCTATGCTCTTGTGTTTTTAATTTGAACTGTGACGTCATTAATATCAGTGCTAAAAACCGGTTATATCAAATACCTCTGAGGTAAACTCAAAAGTATTTTCTCTCGACAAGCGTTCCATTTTATTAGCAACCTTCCAACCTATATATATATATATATATATATATATATATATATATATATATATATATATATATCCTACAAAAACCGTTTTATATATTCGTTGTCATTACTGTGGAGTTCACAATCCAAAGCAAGCTTATTCAAAAATATCATGTGATGTATTAAAGGTAGTATACATATATACATATATATACATATATATATATATATATATATATATATATTATATCATAAATAAACAATTATCCTGTTATTTCTGTTGTCTATCAACTGACTCGGACGTCACAGCTTATAGGCACCATCAATACTACTTCATGGCTAAGTCATAGGGCCGTACTTTAAAACCACCGCCAGCTATGCTCGACTTTCTCGGGGCGTTACGCGTTTTCTGCTTCTTTTTTAATGTTTTGTGTATGCATGTGTGTGTGTGTGCCTGTGCGTGTGAATGTGCGCACATGTGCGTGTGTTGGTTAGTGCATGTGAAGTTAACCGTGGCTAATGGAAAGACGTCCTTCCCAGAGGGGAGTCCAGGAGACCAGGGACGACGAAGACGACGAAGACGACCTCAAGAAGGGTCTCCGCATGGACGACGACGACCTCCTCTCCCTCGCCCTCGACATGTCCGCACAGGAGGCCGAGAACAAGGAGTACAGGCATCTGGTCGCCGCCTTACTCGACGGCATGGAGGGCGACGTGCAGGTCCTCACGCGAGATATGATATGCATAGGAAATATGTTAACTGTAAACTTGATCATGAGACAAACTTTTCTCTAAGCTGTCCTTCCTGCTAGCAACCCAGTCCCATTGCATCACCTTCGAAATGAGGGCATCAGCATTAATTTCTACAGCTGAACCATCGGCTTTAGGTCAACAACAGTTTCAGAGCCAGCACCAGCCTCTCCATCATGGAGAGCTGAGACCTGTAGCGGATGTTGTTGCAGAAGACTGACCTGATGAAATGAGATACTTATATGAACATGAACACAAGCCTTCATTGCTGCTGTAAACAAATACTGTATTAATATTACTAAATATATTATATATATATATATTTGTCACATATGATACTTATATATTTAAGTCTCTCTCTCTCTCTCTCTCTCTCTCTCTCTCTCTATATATATATATATATAATATATAATATATATATATATATATATATATATATATATATAATATATATATATATATATATATATATATATATATATTATATATACATATATATATATATATATATATATATATATATATATATATATATATATATATATATATATATATATATATATATATATATATATATATATATAATTTCTTTTCTCATTAAGATAATCTAGAAAATATAACATACACACACAAACACACATTACACACATTACAAATACACACACATACACATACATACAAAAGCACACACAGACACACATGGACACACACAAACAAACACATACACTCACATAGGCACACACAAACACACACACACACACATATATGTGTGAGTGTGTATATGTGTGTTTATGGGCATCTTTGGTAGATTACAAACTCCAAACGCGTAGGACTTTGGCTGATGTCGTTATTCTTCATAAACTCCGATTGGCTGGTGAATGCGCTGTTAGACGTAGAATGCGTTACGAAAAAAACTATGTACAGTCTCATTTCCCAGCACGGGCAATTATCTCTCTCTCTCTCTCTCTCTCTCTCTCTCTCTCTCTCTCTCTCTCTCTCTCTCTCTCTCTCTCTCTGTCTCTCTCTCTCTCTCTCTCTCTCTCTCTCTCTCTCTCTCTCTCTCTCTCTCTCTCTCTCTCTCTCTCTCTCTCAGATCCCTTCTCTACTTCCCCCTCCACCCTCTCTCTCTCTCTCCGATCCCCTTTCTACTTCCCCTCCATCCCCCCCCCTTCTCTCTCTTTGCCCCCCCCTCTCTCTCTCTGCTTTCCACCCGCTCTCTCCCTCTTTCTCTGCTCCCTATAAATCTCTATCTCTTTCTATGCTCCTACTCTCTCTCTCTATCTCTCTCTTTTCTCTCTCTCTTCTGTCTCTTTCTCTCTCTCTCTCTCTCTCTCTCTCTCTCTCTCTCTCTCTCTCTCTCTCTCTCTCTCTCTCTCTCTCTCTCTCTCTCTCTCCTTTTCTCCCATTTTTTCACAATTTTTCTTCTGTCTCTTTCTATGTCTGTCTATCTGTCTCTCTCCTTTTCTCCCACTTTCTCATTATATCTCTTCTGTTTCTTTCTCTGTCTGTCTGTGTTTACACACATCTTCCGATTACAGGAGCGAATATATTTTTTTCTCGGCTTTACAGAGGCATGTCTTCGAAAGTTGTCTCCCTTTATGGCTAATAAAGGCAGATTACTTGTTCAAACTATTATATATATATGCGCTGTATTCACAACATACAAAATCGAGAAAGGGATTGAGACGCATTCGCTAAGAAATTGTTTTCATTATTCTTTTAAAAAGGAATATATAAGGCATGGACAGGGTATATTTCTTCGTCCACTAGATACAGGACGCTCTACAATTATATCTAATGCATTTCTGTTGAAAAATATAAGCATAAAATGCCTTTGGTAGAAAAAAAGATAATCAAAATAGGCGCCATATATAAAATCATTTTTAAAATCCTCTCTCTCTATCTCTCTATCTCTCTCTTCCTTTTCCAATTTGCTTATGACTGTATTCACCATATGCCGTAAAAGTCGTGTCTCATGCCTTGAAGGTGAGAACCTTAAAGAAATCAACGGAAAAAGGCATTCATAACGATAACTGCAGTATTTGTTCTGCAACTAAAAAGATCATTTACATGCGCGGAAATAAAAAGAAAAAATCATATCCTATATTTCAAATGCATCCTTAGCTCATAATATGGTCGCAGCTAAACGCTTGACTATCACAGTATATTTATCAACGCCGTTTCATAAACTCGATAAGGTAAAGATCTCTTCAAGGTCCCATGGAATGATTAACGCTCCCAAAATCAAGGGTTATGTTCCCTCCTTATCTTTACAGTACGTGGAGATAAGACTTGCAACTGGGAACAAGCATTTTTTTTTTTTCTCTCTCTCTTTCTTTTCCTGTTCATATAGTTGTTTCACAAATTCGGATATCAATTTTCATTTGTTTTCTAGTCACTTCTTTCGGTATTATTTGTAGCATACATTTCTCATTTAGAGCCCCTTTCTGCTCATCCTTGTCTCTCTCTTCCTTTTCTCTTTCCTTCTTCTCCCTCCTGTCTGTATGTCTGTCGGTCTCTCTCTCCTCGACCCTCTCACTATGTCTTTCTCTCTCTCCCTCCCCCCCTCCCTTTCCCCTCTACCTCTGCCTCTTCTCGCCTTCCCTCTTCGCATGTGTATGTGTTTGTGTGCGTGAGTGTGTGTGCGTGTGTTTGTGTGTGTGTGTGTGTGTGTTTGTGTGTGTTTGTGTGTGTCCGGAGTAACGCCAACACCAGCAACACCACTGCCGATGCAACACCAGAAGCCATGAGGGTGACTTGCAATCTCGAGTAGTTTTAAATATTCAAATGATGATACAGACAATAAGAATCGATTTATATATATATATATATATATATATATATATATATAAACAATATATATAGATAGATAGATAGATAGATAGATATGTCTCACACGTGTTCTTTTTTTTTTTCTTTTTTTTTTTAGAGAGAGAGAGAGAGAATGTTACAGTGTTGTTGAGAACTGTCATTTCGGTATTGTGTTCTCGTCCTTACGTGGGTCACACCATGTCAGATCTTCGCCCTTATGGAGTACTGTCATATTAGTTATTTTCGCGTGACCTAATACACGCCGGAAGGGGCGATACAGGCGTTCACAAATAGCTTTTGGTGAAAATGAATGACTTTGGTAATCACGTGATAGTCATGATCAAAGTAAGAACGATGATCATGCTAATACTACTGCATCATTCAAACGCTTTATTTGCCTTAAAATCTACATCGGAACAGAAAATATTCAAAAGAAATGAAAATAAGGGACTGGATTATATATTGGTTTTACAACTACACAAGGCCTATTTGAGGGAATCGAGATGTTAAATCATCAATCTGACTGAACTTTATTGGTCTTAGTGGATCAATGCATATGGTAAACATAACAGTTCGGTGATATTCTTTGAGAATATCGAGTAAATTATACAAATAACTATGTATCTAGCTACATCTGATATCACACGGTGCACTCTCATTGGCTAAACGTGGTGGTCATACAAAATGTGTATGATATTTTATGATTAGTTTTTTCAATGTATTTTCTTTGAAAATGGTTGACTAATGAAAATGGTAAAATAATATTGAAAAAAAAAAAATTATAGAAATAAAGCAAATATCAAATATTTGATGACGTGGGGCATACCTCAGAAGTTGCCAACTAGGATTATCAGAAAGATGGAGTAGTTGCACCAATCTAAATATTCTTTGGTTGAACTAGAGAACCTATTCTATTTTTTTCTTTTCTTTTCTTTTTTACGCGTTATTGTGGGAAGTGCTCTTCTAATGCCAAGTCTCGATTTTTTGTCATAATGAATTTAGAGCTTGGAAGTTTACGTAAACCTGAATCTAGATCAGATTAAACATTCTCAAAGAATATCACCGAACTGTTATGTTTACCATATGCATTGATCCACTAAGACCAATAAAGTTCAGTCAGATTGATGATTTAACATCTCGATTC